AACCTGGGGTCCTGGGCCTCCTGGGCTCAGTGTTGCTATTCTGAACCTTCAATTGTTGGCTGCATTTGTGATATCTCTGAAGACACTGCATAGCCATTTGCTGGCTCCGTCCCACACAAGCCCACCTGGAAGCTTTGTGTTCTGTGATCACCCTCACTTCACTGGGGCTTGTGAGCTGCAGCCCTACACCTGGCTCTGGCTCTAGGGGTTGATGTTGTCATGGGCGTTGCCCTCACTGCTCCTCTCTCTGGGATAGTGATGCATGTGTGCTCTTGGCAGAGCAGTGATTCGGTGTCCTGGAAGAACACGGTGGTGAGGGGCTGGAGACATGGCATCGAGCGGGCTTGCCGGATGGAGCACTCTGCATTTTCTGTGGAACAAAAAGGCCTGCGAAATCCAGAAGAGGAACTTTCAGTGCAGGGAAGAGGCTCTGGGCTGGTGGATCCCGTCCAGAGCTCAGTGGGAGAGATCATTATTGCCTCTGGAATGTGCAGCCTGGCTGGAGGCACGGACCAGAGGGCCAAAGAGCCTCCTCCCTTCCCCCCAAATAGTGCCTTTGACTTGAGAAGTTACGGGGAGCCAAGCTTTCGAATTTCTCCTCTTACCTGGACTCTATGGCCTAGAGGAAGGCTTTTTTTGTTTTGACCTAGGGCCTTGTAGTGGTTGCTGCAAAGCAGTCAGTTTCAAATTTGATGCTGTTTTAAGCCATGGGACTCTTACTTCATTGGTGATCTTGGGCAGAAGCATTAGGCAGGGCTTCTGCACATCGATCTGGGGACATCCGTGTCTGACACTTTGTCATGGGTTGCCTGGTGGCTCATAGGGTATTTAGCAGCGTCCCTGGGCTCTACCCACTGGATATGAGTGTTACTGTCTTTTCCCTGTTATAACAGTCAACAGGCATAACCAAATGTCTCCTGGGAACAGAATAGCTTCTTCTTAAGAAGCTTAAAGTGGAGGTGGTTGATTTAAAGTGGGATAGGGATCTCGGGGTGCCATCTCTCTGCCCTTTTTCTCCTCTCCCCTGCTGTGATACTGACTCATGTGGGGGCATCCAGATGGAGACCAGGTCCCCCGTGGGGGCAACCACACCATGCCCCCTGCCACCTTCTGGGCATTTTCTGTGCTCCTTCTCTCTCCTTGCCCCACCGCAGGAGTGGTTTGTGAGCAGCCTTGGCAACCATGAGGCAGTCCAGCCTGGGGTCCTGGAACAGAGCTATGAGTTGCTGGCCTGGACAGGGTGTAAGTGGCCCACCTTCCTTTAAAAGCGTACGGCTATTGATTGTTTTTTAAATAGCAAAATGAATGCTCTGTAGAAACAACCCTGACAACCTAGAAAAGCACAGAAAAGGAGGAGCCGTGTGTGACTGCACTAGGGAGAGTGTCCACTGTTTACTCTTAACAAAAGCAAACCAAACTTACTCTCATACTTCATCTTATTTATTTATTGTATCTTGTGGAGTTGGCCTTTTCTGCTTAAATGCATGGGCTCCCTAATAGCTCAAAGCAGCCAGCAGAATTACCATAACTGACCTCTCTGGTCTGGTACCAAGTGATGAGTCACAGGAAAACTTGGCAGGCGCCTGCCGATGTCATCAGCAAATGTCAAATCCGCGCCTTCGATGACCTGCTCCTCTTCACAACCTGCAGTGACGTGACCTCCGGGCCCTCCCTGAACCTGTTTATACATTTCTGCTTGACCCGTATTCCTGGAGGCCACAAATGGCTGATTTCCTATCCCTGTACATATGGGGCTTTTATTAGTGATTGCTGAGAAATGACAACTTCCAAGAGAAGCCTGTTGCCATTGTTTAGCTTGAAAACTGAGAAAAGATTGCTCAGCCTCTTGAGGGAAGGGGAAAAAGCAATCACCAAGACTTGTGCTTTCTGAGGACCTCTGTGCCCCACAGAGGCTTCTAGACCCACATATTCTTTCCTCCTTTGTGGCACTTTCAGGGGCGGGGATTTCTTATCCCCCATTTGACAGGTGGGAAGAATGAGGCATAAACAGGTGAAGGAACCTGAGCAGCGTAGAGGGAGAGGTAGTCATGGGACTGGGATGCACATCCTGGCAGCTGATCCTAGGCAGGAGTCGACCACCATTTTCTGTGTAGGGCCAGAGAGGAAATAGGTTTGGCCTTGCAGCAACTGTCCAACTCTTGTCACTGTAAGTTGAAAATAGCATAGATGATAATAAATGAGTGGTTAAGAATATGGAAATTTGAATTTCATATGATTTTTCAAAGGTCTTTTGATTTTTAAAAAGATGCGAAAACTAATCTTAGCTCTGGGACTGTGTAAAAGTGGGCAGTGGCTTGGATTTGGCCCCTAAGCTATAGCTTTTCAACCACGCACTGTCCTAGAGGTCCCAGCTTTTTTTCTTTTTTCTTTCTTTCTTTCTTTCTTTCTTTCTTTCTTTCTTTCTTTCTTTCTTTCTTTCTTTCTTT